CTTCGTTATTATTATTATTTTTTTTACTATAATTTAATTCTCTGAATATAATATAATATAATATTATTATGGAGCTAGCTGTTTCCTCGTCTCTCACGCTGTCCCCAACCTCCGATTATGACCCTTCTTCACAACGCTTCTATTTATCTTACCAAACCAAGCGAAAAAAATATTTATAAAATTAAATTAATAAAAATAATCATTAGTTTAACATAAAATTAAAAATATTTTTAATAATAGTAACTATTTTAATGGTACCGTATAATTAAATTTAATTGTTAATATCTAATTCCAAAATAACTCCATTGCCTTAACGTTCGGACTCTTGTTAATAACATTTGCAATAGGATCTTGCACTAACATACTACTCGATTCCAGACACTTCAAACCCTAAATTACGAGGGAGTTCAATTAATGGTAGGAGCGAGATCGGAGACGAGATTTTATTACCTACGCTCGTTGAGGAACCATTCTTTTTTAACCCTATGGAAGGATGTTTCTCCGCTTTATATAAGAGATCACGTGCTAGAGTTTCCTTACCAACCCAGTTAGTTCGTACCCAATCACAAGTTATGTCCCCTAAATATGAGTAAGCTAGTTCGAGAAGGCTCGTATTAGGTTAGAAACGGTAACATTTCAAGTACACTGTTGACAGATATTGTCTAATTTAGCCCGTTATATATTGTTATCAGTCTCACAATTTTAAAACATGTCTATACGGAGGAAGTTTACACAGACTTAATATTATGATTCCCTGTCTAAGAAAGTAACGGAAAGTTAGAGTAAATTAACAAAATTAAAAGAATAAAAATCCCATCTTTTTTTTTAATTGGGGATTTTAATGGTAAGACAGAGAAGCAATTGTCTCACTCACCTGTCATCTTCTATTACATCACCCACCAACCCACTTCTTCCACCTCCCCATCCAGCAAATTAGAGTTTGCACCTGTCGGATTTTCTCTCTCCTTTCTCTCAACCTATCAAAATTATAACAGCCATCACCAACGGCTTCAACCCCCTGCCAGTGGCATCATTTTTCCTGCTACTTTCTTCTTCTTCATCCACTCCAACCCTAAAAATGCATCTCGGTCAAAGAACGTATTCAAACCCGAGAGCTTTTTAGAGTCTTTCGATACGTATATATCTATATCTATATCTATATATATATATATATATATATATATATATATATATATATTTCATGCAGAAGAAGCTTCGTGTTATCGACCATGGCGTACCCACATTACCGATCCCAATTCGGAGATACCACTTTGACTAAAGTGTTTGTTGGTGGGCTAGCTTGGGAGACGCCCACCGACGAAATGAGGAGATATTTTGAGCAATTTGGCGACATTCTTGAAGCTGTGATTATAACGGATAAGAACACCTCCAAATCCAAAGGATACGGTTTTGTAAGTTAGCCTTGTAATTATTTAAGTTTTGGAGTTCCGTGGTGATTTAAATCATTATTCAGGTAACGTTTCGAGATGCTGAATCTGCGAGAAGGGCTTGTGCTAATCCAAACCCGATGATCGATGGGAGACGAGCTAATTGTAACATTGCTGCAATGGGTCGGCCTCGGCCTTCACCTCCACGAGGTCGGTATTATAGTTCATCTCTATCGTTTTTACCACGATTGTTGTTTATTCAAATTTTTGTTTTGCTATTCAGGACGAGGGCAGGGTGGCGTAAATCCCTATCAAGGAAGTACAATGCAAGCAGCACCATCTTATAGCGGAGTCCCGCCGCCGTTAAACCAGCCACCGCTTCCTCCGCCGCCCCCTGTTGTTTATTCACCATACGGGTTAGTCAAGTTATTATCGAATTAGAAATTTGGGTAGAAATCATGAAGATTAAATTGAAATTAAGGGTTAAACTAAATCAAATATGCGATTATTGATCCGTTAAACAAAAGATTAAACGGGTTTAGAAATTGGGTATGAATGGAAACATATGGACCCACGTCTGCATATCTCTATAATATTATGATACTATTCACTTTAAACAAAAACGCTCGAAATATACTCAATTATAAGTTATGTATCGCTCGGTTTTCTACGTGGGTCTAGATTAGTCTACGGTTTCATTTGAAAAGAAAGAAAGGGTAGTCGGGTCAAAATCATTTTTGTGAGATCCCACGTCGATTAAAGAGAAGAACGAAACAAATCTGTCACTAGTAGACGTGTTTTAAATTTTTTTTTTAAAGGGTATGAAAATATCTGCTAACGGTGGATTTAGACTGTTAGAGTGGAGCCAACGAGCTCCGCCCCACCGACCAATCGACAAACCCAAAACCAATACAACTGTAACACCAACCAATGTGTTTACAACTGTCCCAAAGTCCCATTTGAGCTAAGGTTCTTCATAAAAAGAATAGAAATTCTACAACAATATTTTCCACTAAGCAATTAATTCCCATCCCAACCCACTTGGTTCTTTTTCTTGGCTTTGCAGATACCCAACATACACTCCTGATTATGGCTACCACCAGCACTACCAGCACCACCAAGTGAGCCAGCCTCCATTTCTCTTAAAATTATGCATTATTTTTCATTGCGGCATTTACTCAAACACTTGGCGTGCATGCGCATGAAAAGTCACCATAAACCCTAACTAACTTATAAAAAGCATTGAATTTTAGCAACCAGTGTACAACCCATATTTCTATGGCTATTCCGTACAATCCCCCAGAGGAGCATTTCCCATTCCTTCGCAGTCGCATCAGCCCCGTGTAGCAGTTCCTCCTTATGTGTACTATCCTCCTCCCGCCGCCGCCGCTCAGTATGAAGGCTCCTTCAGCTATCCTCCTCCTCCTCCTCCTCTGATACGACACCGTTTTGCCTCCACAGGTACGAATTTCTATCTCTTTTTATAATTTTTGGAATTATATATGAACAATAAAAAAGACATCTGACAGGAACAGACAAACAGATAAATAGATTATTATTATTATTAATATAAGGTAAAAAAAGAAAGAAATAAAAATGGGGGCCATGTGGGTAAAGAGCTAAAGCCATGTGAGTGAGCTGTCTGGGCCAATGCAATTGTTGAAAGGAAATTGATGACAGAGTAGCATTTCATTATATAGACAGCTACTGCATTCCCCATGTGTGGTTCAGTTTCCAACCTATTACTATTCTCAACCCCTTTCTCCTGGTATCCCGTCTCGATGTGATTGATAGTTTTGTATTTAGATGATTCTTAGAGGTCACCCGAATCGACCCCTCTTAGCCAATGTTCGAATTGGCTGATCATAAACTTAGCATATCTCTAGTAGACTAACGCCGATATGTAACGAGTCAAAACAGACAATATCTATTACAAATGGTATCAGGGTCGACACTGGAGGACAATGTGTCACCGAGAACGTTGGCCTCTAAAAACGTGTATTGTGAGATCCCATATCAATTGGGAAACAAAGCATTTCTTATAACGGACGGCTAACATACAGGCCAAAATGAACAATAATATTACTAACAAAGAGATAGAGTTATTACAGTAACAATGAGCTGTGTCCAGTTGTCTTTTAAAATGGACCACTTCCAAATTCCAAGCTTCCAACCTTTTCTTTTTGGGTCTCATTTAGAGATAGCACGAGTTAGGTTGTAAAAAATTTTAAAAATCTCATTTTGGAGCGTATACGGGTTTATAGTTGTAATTTTTTCCGACTAACCCGAAATTTGAGATTGGTTGGTCAGCTAGTCTCGACCTGACATAGTTCACAACCCAATAAAAAACACTCAGCTTTCTATTTTAGTTGGTCGGGTTGATCTAACAAAAAAAAAAAAAAAAAAAAAAAACTCCGACCCACAAACTATACCTACAAAAATATAACCTAATCCTTAATTTTTATAATTTTAGTTGAGTAGTTCGAGTTTTATCATTAATAAATTACAATAATTAAATTAGGTTTATATTAATATGTATTAATGATGGGTTTCAGATTCACAGACATCTCAGCAAACTCCTACCGAAGCTGAAGCTGAAGCTGTTACCTCTGAAACTTCAACCACCTGAAAGAAGAATTCATAAAAATCAAACCAAACCAAACCGAACCGAACTGAATTATTGGTTCAATTTCTCATGAAAAAAAAAACCCAAAAAAAGGAAGAAAAAAAAAGGTGGAGATAGAAAATTGTATAAAGTTGACTACTCGATCGATTTGACCGTCTTTTTCACCCATTTTTTCCTTTTTTTTTTTAATTATTATTATTTATTCCATTTTAATTTTGATGGATTTTTTTCATTGTACTCGAGTTAGGATTTTAATTTTTGTTATAATTTAACGTGTAAGAGTAGAGATTCGAACATTTGATTTTTTTTTAGTCGAAAATATATGTTAAAATTAATTAAATAATTCAGAGATTTTTAATAGAGTATGGAAAGTTAATTAAATACGTAATTTTTTATTTAATTAAAAAATATAATAAAATGTCTTTAATTTTATAGGAAAATTATTAATGGCATATATTGATATAATATTATCAAGAGTGAGTTACAAGCTGTTGGAGAAACTATGGATGGGGAGAATGCATAATGAGGGGTAAAAGCGTCAATATACTTTATCAATGCATGAGCGGCCCATGTTGGGACCTTTTCCCTTAAGGCCCAAGCCCAACTGTTTTTAATTAAAAACAAATATGAAAAAGAATAAAAATAAATAAATATCCTTTAAATTTTAAATTCTTTTTATGGTTACTTTTAATTTTTTGAAAAAAAAATTCAAAAATACCATTGTCACTCTTAAAAATATGTTAAAAAAATTAATAAATAATATATGAAGTGTCCATGATAACCTGTGTTAATGTTATTTTTACAATTTCATCTGTATTTTTAAGCACAATACTAATTATAGGATGTTTTTAATTTTTTATTTGTGATTAGTTTCGTAGTAGTATGTAATAAATATTAAAGTTGGTAAAAGTAGAACAAATATAAATTTAAATCAATTGATTATTATAATATAACTACAAATAAACAACAGGACCCTGGAGGGTTGGTTGGAGGTAAGAGTAGACGGATAATATAATCTTCAATCTCGTATGGCTATTAGAGAAATTTCTATAAGTTCTTTCCTTAGTTTATTGGTCTCTATTGATTCTCACTGATCAAATGAACATCTCTAATCGATATTGGTCGTTATGTATCTATATTTGAATCAAGGGGATTGAAGAAGCACTTCATGAATCAAATTATTGAGATTCCGGAAAGACGAACCGGTGTCGGGCACCGCCGCCTCCGCCACGAGTTTCTTCCATTCCCCGGCCCTCTTCCTCATTTCTTTCCCTCCATGTCCCTCCATCAACTCCTTCACTTGCTCTTGAATATCTTCTCGTTTAACATTGGTGTCAATCTCACTTCCAATTCTCCACTCCGTGCAGCAATACCTGCAATTGGTTTGCTGCTCGGCGAAGAACGGCCAACAAAGCATCGGAACTCCGCTCACTATGCTTTCCATCGTCGAATTCCACCCACTGTGCGTTAAAAACCCGCCGACCGCCGGGTGGTTTAGAACCTCCTCTTGTGGACACCAGTTCGCCAACATCCCTCTTTCCTTAGTCGCCTCCACGAACTCCGGCGGTAGCACCGCCGTCTCTCCCGCCACCAGATCCGGCCTAATGATCCATAAAAACATTTGCTCGCTGTTTGCCAGCCCCCAAGCGAATTCTTTCAGCTGATCTTCCGTCATCACCGTGATGCTGCCTGTTCCCAATATAAACAAATTAGGTTAGTTCAGATTGTTGGGAGAGAGTAAATGGTTGGTAATTTCTAACATGTTATTGCAGTCACGCTCAATCCTCAAATGTCGAACAATGGGTGTGTTAGATGAACACGACTCTACACAATGATATGATATTGTCTACTTCGAGCTTAATGGTTTTGCTTTGAGATTTCCCAAAAGACCTCATACTAATGGAGAGAGTATTCTTTCCTTACAAACTAATGATCATTTCCTAAATTAACTGATGTAGAACTTTCCTAAGGAGTCGAGTCTCGATTAAGTAAAGACTATTCGAGGGTTCCATAAATCTCAGAGGAAGCTCTATAGTGTACTTTCGAACAAATGGTGTAATTTGTTCGAGCACTCGAGAAAGTGAGTCGAGCCTCGATTAAAAGGAGACTATTCAAGGGTTTATAAGCTTCAAGAGAGATTCTATAGTGTACTTTGTTCGAGGTTCATAAGACTTAGGGGAGACTCTATAGTGTAGTTCGTTCGAAGGAAGGATTGTTGGGAGGGAAGTAAGAAATACATCTCTAATGATACGAGGTCGGTTAGAGAAACAAAAAAACAAAGCCTAAAGTGGACAATATGATACCATGTGGAGGTTAGTAATCCTTAAATTGAATGGGTTAAGAGATGGTACCAAAATTGACGTAAACGACCGAGTTGGGCAACTTCTGATCGAGCCATTCAAGGCAGGCTCGGTCCTCCTTCCACAAGTTGGAGCCAAGGGATATCAAATCGGAGTGGGAATCAGGAACCAGGTGTTGCAGGAGCAGCTGAAGAGGGCCGATGGAGAAGACCGGCGGCATGAGAGTGGAGATGGCGTTCAAAGCTGGTTGTTCCAGTGAAGCCATTGTGTTCAAAACAATGGCGGAAGCTCTTTCAGCTCTTTTTGTTTCAGATATTATGAAATCAACCATTCCATCTTCTGGGTCAGTTGTTCTTATGAAACTTGGCAGATCCCTCAAACGAATGCCTTCCATTCCTGGAATCCAATCTATTTGCGTCTCCAAATATCCGTTGCTAAAATCCTTTTCATCTGCACCAAACACAAACGAGTTCAAATCTCGACTCGTTTTTGAGCTACGATAACTAGAAATGCTCATTTAATTTATGGAGATGAGAATTCTCGTGAATTCCGGTTTTAAACGGAGAAATAAGAATGGAATGGAGAGAAATTTTTTCTCGCTAGCTAAATAAGTTGGGATGGGGACGAACATATAATTTCGTCCCTGACTTTGTGTAAATCTCCAATTGTGAGATCTAACATCAGTTGGAAAGAAAACGTTTTAAAATCGTAAAGCTAACGACGATACGTAACCATAAAAAACATACAATATTTATTAGTTGTGGGTTTGGGCCGTTACAAATGATATCAGAGTCAGACATCAGACAATGTGCCAATGAAAATACTGAGTCCCGATTGGAGTGGATTGTCAGATCGCACATCGATTGTAGATGGAAATAAAACATTAACCTAACGTCTCATGTGTTAAATCTAAGACTCACAAATTATTTATTTATTTAGTAAATAAAAAGGTGAAATTATATTATATTTTTTTTAATAAAATTTATTAGAATCATTACCATTTTTTAACTTATAATGAGAATTATATTAAAAAAAATGAAAAAATTCTATTAAAAATAAATAAAAAAATCTAAGAGGATAAGATTTGAAATCACTTTATTTATTTATTTATTTTTAGAAATTAAATTTATTATTTTTCAATTAATTAAAAGATTAAGGTGAGAGCGTTTAATAATTAAAGTCATACCTTTCAACGGAGTATAGCCACGGTCAACAAGTTGTCGATAGTGCAGGTAAGCCAAGAACCCACAAGCACTAGTAGTCCAAAACAGAATTTCCGGAACCCCAAGCTCTTCCGCCGCATCAACTGTGAAGCTCATAACGCCATCCGACACAATACAGCTCACCGGTGGAACATTAGGAGTAGAATTAACCTTACGCAGCAATTCCTTAAACGGCTGCAAACACAGCCGCCGTGTGGATTGACACAACGACGGAATATCCTGAGTAGCATCTACATCCATCGGTGGTAGACCGTCGGGGATCGACTCGAATCGAAACGACGAAAGGCCGTTGAGAGCCGTAGGACCTTGAGACTTAAGGAGACGATGGTGGTTGAAATCGGTGTTGACGAAGGTGATATGGAAGCCATGGTAATGGAGAAGCTTGGCTAGCTTCAACATGGGCGTGATATGGCCTTGTGCTGGATATGGTATGCACACGGCATGAGGCTTGTCGGAGTTGGAAATGGTACCCATTGGGAGAGCTTTTTAGAGTGGTGTGGATAAATGGGAGACTTTAAAAGTGCTTTTATAGAGCTTATGGGCTCATTTTTTTTGGCCTAGTTGAATTTTGGTCAATATTTATGGCTCAACAGAGAAATTGATAGCTATAAACTCCGAATCCCTTCTCTTGTGTATGGACACAACTTTATTTGTGGAGGTTAGGTGGACGGAGATGGGCGGAGATATTATTGGACGAGACCATTCGATTCGGTTCGATGTACAAGAGATAAACGATGAACCCATTTAAAATTTTGTATACGAGTGCAGAGTTAAAAATTAATAAAGACAGTGTAATTTTCTTTAATGAAGTGTTAGGTGGCCGATAATGAGTTAGTGGTCCACTTATTTATCTGATAGCTTAAAATATTTTTTTTAAACACTGATAAAATAACCCGTGTTGTTAAAACAGTATGATTGAGAAATGTTATAACCTTGAACGTTGAAGGAAAAATTAACCGTGAAGCTTCATTTCCTCAAACCCAGATCAAATTCGAGGGAAATGATGAAGTTTTCTAGGTTTTTTTTTTTTACTTTTTGTTTGGGTGTGGGTAATATATGTCCTTACACATTTGTCAATTAATGCTCAAATAGTTACTCCTTGTGAATTTTTTTTGTCTACCCACTTGAGTAAATTTTAGGTCAAGCATCTTTCGTGGAAAGTTATTTGAGGTCCCGAGCATGGTAGCATGTGATATTCATACAGTTTCTCAAGGCACTTTCTCTACCCTAGTTATTATCATGAAAACGTCACGACACCATACGCTCTTTAACTGATAACCTATCTTTTAGCTAACCAATCATTCACGATTATTCCGGGCCTACAAAAGTAGCATAAAAACATTTGGTATGTAATTACCAAACCATATAAAAAAAACTAAAATTAAGCAACCTTTATGAGATATGAATGACACAAATATAATAACACAAATTTAAAATTTATTTAAACAAGACATATGACCACGTGTGAATTTAAATATAATTTTTTATAATTATAATACTGAAATAGAGTGCTTACCAAAAACTTTCTAAGGGGCTTTAAATAACTTACTAAAATATATTTTTTATGATAATTATTTATCATAAAATCCACGTGTTTTGGAAAGTGGTGTTTATTCTTGCTATAAATTAAAATTCATAAAAATATATTATAGTGTCGGATGACATTTATCATCAATCAAATACTCGTGAGTTCACTCCTTATAGTCCATATTTAAAAGATAAAAAAAAAAAAAAAAAAAAAAAAAAAAAGACATTTTTATATAATTTTATAAATAAAAAAAGTTCCTTATTTTCATTTTAAAATTCGAATAATTGAAAAAAACAATTAATTAGATTATATTTAAATTTATATGGTTAGTAACATAGTTTAAGTGAAATTAATACTTATTAATTTGAATTATTGGCCGAACATTCTATAGTAAAGATTATTACGATTGAATTAATAAGCAATTAATGAATCCACTTACTCACATTAATTAATTGATGCCTCACCCATCATTTAATTATTATTATTTTAATTGATATCGAATTAATATTTTGATTATGACTTACAATATGGTTTAAACTTTGGCATAAATCAAGGTTTAATTTAATATTTATTATATAAAGACATAACACCACGACATTTTTTTTTAATTTATAGAAAATATGGATATTTAAAGATTTTAGTTAAATAATTAATTATAAATTGAGTTCATAAGCAATGACTTCATTCCTAACCTACCGACTCCAATATAATAAATTTTAGTGCGGTTGTCTTTTCAAATACTCAAAAGGAAATAATTTATTATTATTTTACTTTTTTTTTCTGCATAATTTAATATTATAAATTTTGTAACACAATAATTAACAAATTGTTTGGAGTTTGATTATTTTTTGAATAAAATATATTATATGAGACAGAGATTTAAAGTTCAATTAGAAAAAAACAATTATTTACAGAATAATAACTTGGACATCTGTCGTTTTATCAGAATTCAAATGGTCTGGTCAAGGCGTTGACTGATTCATTTAAATTGAATAATGTTTTTTTTTTATTTTGTTGAATTTTGGCGCGTGTCTTTTACGTGCCCGGATTCTATTGGGTATTGTGACGGTGGCTCAATTATTAAGAAACACGGCCGGTTATTATAATATATATTTCGTCATATCATCTTTATTATTATTTTTAAAATTCAAAACCATTTTTTTAATATATTTTTAATTATTTAAAATCAACTTTGACAGCGTAAAAATTAAAATAAAAAATAATTAAATTAAAATAATTAATTAAATATACAGTTTTGGAGAAAATATAAATGATATTTATAAAAAAACGACGTCGTTGAATTGGATTATGGAAGGCGTCGTGTTTGAATTTGAATTTCATAGCAGATGATGTGTGTGGGATCGGAAACTCAAATTGTTCTTTTCCTCAAAATTGTCGGACTATATTTGTCGTTTCTCTCTCTCTTTATTTTTAAAAAAATTAATAATAAATAAATAATATTTTACTCTTCCAAATAAATGGAATCCTTCCCGGTACTTGGGAAGAATAAGACAAAAAAATTAATTTTTAATTATTGCATCATTTTCTCGGGTATTCAGACACTAAGAGTCTTCTCACTGTTGGATGATGGAAGTCTCACATCCCCTAATAATTTAGGGAATGATCATGGGTTTATAAGTGAGAAATACTAACTCTAATGGTATGAGGCCTTTTGGGGAAGCCCAAAGCAAAGCCATGAGAGCTTACGCTCAAAGTGGACAATATCATACCATTGTGGAGAGTCGTATTCAATCTAACACTCACTACCAACCGAAAAAAATCATCTGGCTCGGTATTAAAAAATAGAACGATTAGAAACAAAAAGTAAGTATGGTTCTGTGCCCGAACAACATCCTACGTGACGTAGGGGAGATCCTCATTTGGCTCGATCTTAAAAAATAAAACGAATAGAAACAACAAGTAACTATAGTTCTTGGCCCGAACAACGTAGACCTAAAAGAGATGGGAGCATGCCTTCTCCCATTTTATGGTATATTGGAAGTAATAAATAAAATATAGTTTCGTTATCCAATGGGCCTTAAAAGTTCATGGGCCGTTCTTGCGAGGCGAATAATTATTGGGCCTCGTCCCGGTCCAAAAAACAGTGAAATTTGGAATAATTCGCTTTTTTTTTTTTTTTTTTTAATTATAAAAANTTTTTTTTTTTTTTTTTTTTAATTATAAAAAGTAATTTTCTTTAAACACATTATTTAGTTTTTAAAAAATCAATAATGAAAATGAATTACGTTTTTATGCTTTTGTTACGAGGCCGCGCGTCATAGTTAATTGGCGCCGTATTCAAAGTGCCGCCGAACTCTAATTTTCCACCGTTCTCCGACGCCGGTCGAAAAATGCAACCTGAAGACTCGAAATCCCCAGAATTTCCAATCCCTCCGCCCAATTTCCGTGCTCCGACTCATCGTCCTACTCCGGCGGCCAGTATTCCGGTCGATGTCCGTCCTAGCCAGTCCATGATTCTTTCTCCGGTCCCTCAGCCCCAAAGAGTCTCTGTCGTCTCTCCCCCTTACCATTTCCAAGTTCCTTCCAAAAGAATTCGTTCTCCCGATGATCTCCGCCACTTCCACGATTCCGATTCCGGAAGAAATTTTATTGGTTTTATTGTCGCTCTGTCTGAATCCACTCGAGGCCGGAAAATTTCAGATCCGTGTTACGCATCTGATACCGTTAATTCCATCGTCTCGATTCTTGATACTCTGATTCAGTGGGTCGATGATATACCACCGGCGCGTATGGCGTCTCGATATGGAAACCTTTCTTATCGGACATGGCATGCGCGGATGGTGGAAAACAGTGATTCTCTTATGCTTCGATTTCTCCCCGAGGATCTTCATTCAGCCACAGTGGAACTTGTACCTTATTTCACTGATAGCTTCGGGAATTCGACCCGAATCGACTATGGTACTGGGCACGAGACACAATTCGCAGCCTGGCTGTATTGCTTGGCGAAATTGGGGACAATCAAAGAGGAGGATTACCCTGCTGTCGTCGTTAGGGTTTTCGTGAAGTACCTCGAGTTAATGAGGAAATTGCAGTTGGTGTACTGTTTGGAGCCTGCGGGTTCCCATGGTGTTTGGGGCCTTGATGACTACCATTTCTTGTCGTTCGTTTTCGGATCATCACAGTTGATAGATCATAAGTATCTGAAACCTAAATCCATTCACACTCAGAATATTCTAGACAGTTTTTCAAATGAGTATCTTTACTTCTCGTGTATTTCGTTCATAAAGAAGGTGAAGAAGGGTCCATTCTCAGAACATTCGCCATTGCTTGATGATATTAGCGGGGTGCCTACTTGGAACAAGGTTAATAGTGGGTTGCTGAAGATGTACAAGGTGGAAGTATTGGAGAAAGTTCCCATTATGCAGCACTTTCTCTTTGGATGGCTCATCAAATGGTGTGTATAGTATCTGTTTCTTTTCTGTGTACTTGTTAATGGCTACTTTTGTTGCAAGTTTGTGCTCTTCATATTTTCTTTAGTATACAGAAAATTTGGTTTAGGAAGCTTTTTTTATGCTGGTTTATAACAATGTGCATGTTTTTGGCTGTTTCTAGAGGCTGGTTTGTAAATGAGATCTGTTTCTTTAGATCAATAACGAGCTCGTCGCTCTAGTTTGCTAGTTATGCATTGTTCTCTTCAGAAATAATGAAAGTTTGTTTATGAATAGTAATGCTTCACTTGCTGGAGCATTAAGAGCGTCGTGTTGGCTTTGTATTCATGGGATTGAACTTGTGTTCTGCTTCAACTTCATGGCTTTGCTCATTAACTCATGTTTACACATGAAGGTGGATTACTTGAATGGATTAATGTTTAATAACGCCCTTCTTTATGGATGGGGTGAATTGAGGCTGTCCTTTCAGGTTTAAAGCTAAAGCTCCTAACAGATTTAGCTTCAATGAGTAGCTTAGGAACCTTATGTAACTCTCTGATTTCACTGGCACTGGCCACTGTGCCTCTGCATTGTATTACCTTTTCTAGATTTCTGTCATCATGTGTCGTAGATAGGATTGTACGTTTCTAATGTGTGAAAACTTACTTTGGGAGTCTCACGACTTTCTTGTAACGACGAGTTTTGACCAGTTTGGTTCCCAGAGTCGGTTGAACTTTGTAACTTGTCTCTCATCACGTGTCGTAGATGGGATTATACGTTTCTAATGTCTGAAAACTTACTTTGGGAGTCTCACGAGTTTCTCATAGCGACGAGTTTTGACCAGTTTGGTTCCCAGAGTCGGTTGAACTTTGTAACTTATTTCTCATCATGTGTCGTAGATGGGATTATACGTTTCTAATGTGTGAAAACTTACTTTGGGAATCTCATGAGTTTCTCGTAGCGACGAGTTTTGACCAGTCTGGTTCCTAGAGTCGGTTGAACTTTGTAACTTGTCTCTCATCACATGTCGTAGATGGGATTATACGTTTCTAATGTCTGAAAACTTACTTTGGGAGTCTCACGAGTTTCTCGTAGCGACGAGTTTTGACCAGTTTGGTTCCCAGAGTCGGTTGAACTTTGTAACTTGTTTCTCATCATGTGTCGTAGATGGGATTATACGTTTCTAATGTGTGAAAACTTGCTTTGGGAGTCTCACGAGTTTCTCATAGCGACAAATTTTGACCAGTCTGGTTCCCAGAGTCGGTTGAACTTTGTAACTTGTCTCTCATCATGTGTCGTAGATGGGATTATTCATTTCTAACGTGTGAAAACTTACTTTGGGAGTCTCACGACCTTCTCGTAGTGATGAGTTTTGTCAGTTTGGTTTCTAGAGTCGGTTGAACTTTGTAACTTGTTTCTCATCAGGTGCCGTAGATGTGATTATACATTTCTAATGTGTGAAAACTTACTTTGAGAGTCTCACGACTTTCTCGTAGCAACGAGTTTTGATGAGTCTGGTTCTCAGAGTCGCTTGAACTTTGTAACTTGTTGGTTAGAATAGAATCGCTACTACCTTGCAGACGTGAGTGCAAGGACGTAGTTAGCTATTTACATTTATTTACATTTAGCAGGGTTGTTCCATAGATATCTTATAACAACATACTCTAATCTTTTGCTTTTTCCTTCTCATATTACCCCATTTCCTATAGGAAATGGGTTGGGTATAGAATTGGCTCTCCTGTTTTGGTCAGTAGAAAAAGGTTCAAATTTCAACAGTAAACGGGTATGAAAGAGCACTGTTGTTGATGATGATGAAATGACATTTGGACTTTGGGTTCGCCAAAGCCAAACATCACTCATAGCCCCAAGCTCCTCTTGTCTCTTTCCTTTTGATGTTTCATGCCCATGACATCTCCATATTAGGAACTAAGCTACAGCATCATCAATGTGCTTGTCATGATTGGTTTGGGCACATTCATTTTACGCAAGAAGATTCGTTTACTGAACATTACCTTCACCTTTTCTTCCCTTTGCAGGAACTAGACAGAAGAGCTCGGTTAACTCACAAAGGGCTTGAATCTAGAAATTTGGTTCTTAGTATTATGAGCTTTTTAACATGTTGTTTAGAAGGAGAAAAGCTCTTTTCCTCCCCTGCTTTGCTTCTTTAGTGGGCGTTTCTTTTTGTTTCCAAACTCAGGCCCAATCAAGGAGAGGAGTGAAGAAGAAGCATTATTGTTCTACTAGACCACGTATAAAATGTCACGTCGCTGGGCTGAACAAAAAGGACCTGCCTTGTCTGCTTCCCCTCTTTCTTTCTTTCTTTCTTTCTTTCTTTCTTCCTATAAGATTAAAGCAAATAGAAGAGAACCAAATGGACGGTTTAGGGTTTATAACACTCCTTCAATGGAGGAAAACCGGGGTACGGAATTAGACTCGACTTTTTGTGTGCATTTGGATGCTTGAAATTTTCTACCACAGCCTAGGCTCACAGCTAGTAAATAGTCTATTTTAGCTTCTTACATATTGCTATCAGCTTCATAGTTTTTAAAATCCGTGTCTATTAAGAAGAGATTTCTATGCGTGTCTATTAAGAAGAGATTTCTATACACTTATAAGGAATGTTTCGTTTCTCTCTCCAACCATTATGTCATCTCACAATTCATCTTTCTTGGGTGTCCAAGGTCCTTCCTGGCACATCAAGGAGAGGGTAGATTGTAAGATATCACATTAGGAGAAGTCAAGGAGAGGGTAGATTAGGGTAGATTGTAAGATCTCACATTAGTTGGAAAAGGGAACGAAACATTCATGTGAAGAAAATAGTGTAGAAACTTCTCCCTATATAACGTGCCAAAACGGATAATATCTGCTAGCAGTGGGCTAACGATATATACCAGGTTAAAGCAGACAATATCTACTAGTGGTGGACTTAGGTTTGTCATGATCTGCGTTTTCGTATGGTTGCCTTTAGATTTTACCCCTTTTCTCCTCTCAAGCTTTATTATTACCTGCGGTTAGCGGTTTCAATTCAATGATTGATATCTTAATAAACTTCTTCCATCTTTGGTAATGACTTCTTATTAATTTATTATTATCATAAAGCAAGATCATGCGTTTTGTCGTTGTCTATGTTCGAACTTTTGAATATTTAAGATTCATAGACCTAATATATTTTAGGGTAAATTTTTTATAATCTTATTTAATTTAAAATACATATTTTAATTTTAAAAAAATAAAATAGAATATTTAATAACATTTAATGTCGCTTTTCAATAATTTAAACTATTTTGTATCATAGAATTATAATTAATTGCGTTGATGCAGTTCATTAGTTTACAAGTCTTGCCGCTTTTCCCTGTCCACCTCCTCCCTCTACAATCCTTGTCACCGACACCTGTACGTGCCCTTAGTTGGAACTTGAAACTTCTTCCCTCTCTCTCATACAGTAACTGAGGGGTTACTTACTGCCTCAGTCACCTCCGTAATAAAAGAGGAAAAGCAAAGTAAAAAGGTAATATTTTCCGATACCGATGCCATACCAAGCCAGCAAATTTCACCTCGTTTACTTTGTTCTTCTTATTGTTATCTTTTTTTTATTAAGGAAAAACTAAAAATATTAGTTGTGTCATTCTATCCCGTCTTTTCGTCTTGCCATTTGAGCATCCGTTTTTAACCCTCATTCATGCGATTAGTGGGTTTTTACCCTTCCCCCCCTCAAATTTTGCTGCTTATTGCTTGCATTCAAGCTCCGGTTAGGTTGGTATACATAGCTCCCCCTCCTCTCTCCGATTAAGCTCTGGTTAGGTGAGCTTTCTTTTCTCTTTTCTCCACTTGGGTAGCTTCGTTTTTAGATTTAAATTATGGGTTTCGTGTTCTGAATCGTTTAGTGATGTCCTCTGATTTCTGGGTTTTGTTTGTTCTTCAGTTATGATCTGTATGTATGCTTGTTCTTGTATATACACAGTTCCCTTTGTTTATGGCGTAGAATTGATTTTAGGTCTGGAAATTTATGCTTTAGATTGTTGAATATCTTGTGGGTTTCTGTTTAATTTGGATCTTAAGTATACCCTTTTCCCCTTGGCGATTTCCCAAGTTTCTGATATGTTTGTTTGATGCCTTATGCATCAATGAACTGCTTAATTGACTTTTGATATGTGATATCTCAAGCGGAGTAGAGATGGCTGAGGGAAGCGATTTCAGGCACTGGGATGAGCTGATACCGGACGCTTTGGGGCTAATCTTTAGTAAACTTTCACTCCAAGAGAAACTCACTGTGATCCCCATGGTCTGCAAATCATGGGCCAAAGCAGTGATGGGACCTTACTGCTGGCAGGAGCTTGACATTGAAGAATGGAGTAGTCGAAGGCAGCTCGACGACGTCGATCGAATGCTTCAAATTCTGATTAATCGAAGTGGCGGGTCGCTTCGTAAGCTCTGCGTTTCTGGTCTTCATAACACCAGCATTTTCTTCTCCATTGCTGATCAGTAAGAATTTTAATTGATATGTTAACCGTTGATGATTGTTGGTAGGGAGTCCTAAGTTGGCTAACTTGGGGAATGATCATGAGTTTGTAAGTAAGGAATACATCCATGGGTATGATGCCTTTCGGGAAAGTCCAAAACAAAGCCACGAGAGCTTATGCTCAAAGTGGTAATATCATACCATTGTGGAGAGTTGTTATTCATAACATGGTATAGAGCCATGCCCTTAATTTAGCCATGTCAATAGAATTCTCAAGTGTCGAACAAAGAAATTGCTAGCCTTGAAAGTGTAGTCAAAAGTAACTCATGTGTTCGAACAAAGGGTGTACTTTGTTCGAGGGCTCCAAAGAAAGGAGTCGAGCCTCGATTAAGGGGTGACTATTCGAAGGCTATATAGACCTCAGGAGAGGCTCTATGGTGTACTTTGAGTCCCACATTGGCTAATTTAGGGAATGATCATGTGTTTATAAATAAGGAATACATCTCTATTGGTACGAGGCCTTTTGGGGAAGTCTAAAGTAGAGCCATAAGAGCTTATGCTCAAAGTGGACAATATCATACCAGTGTGGAGAGTCGTTATTTCTAACATTTGTGGATTTTGTGTTAATTGTGATGATGTTGTGTTTTATATTGTCTTTTCAAGTGCTGGTTCGCTTCGAACGTTGCGGCTGCCTCGGAGCAATATAAGCGACGGTGTAGCGGAACAAATTGCTGGAAGGCTCTGTGCTGTTACATTTTTGGATCTAAGCTATTGTGATGAAATCAGTGCTTGTGGTTTAGAGTTCATTGGAAAGAATTGCAAAGCTTTAGTTGGAATGTGTAGGAACTTGCATCCGCTGCATACAGCGGGTATGCTCGCCCCGGACGATGAAGCTCGTGCTATTGCAGCCACAATGCCGAAACTCAACCACCTCGAAATGGCTTATCATACTCTAAGTACTAAAAGTTTAATGACGATACTGTCGAGCTGCCCCGACCTCGAGTTTCTCGATTTGAGAGGGTGTTGGGATATAAGGCTGGAAGATAAGCTTGTTGCAGAGAAGTTCCCAAAACTTAGGGTGTTGGGGCCTCTCGTTAGGGACGTGTACGAGAGAAATGAATGGGATGAATGCTCGGACTACTCGTACGTATCAGACGACTTGGCATGGGACCTTTCTGCTGATTACTTCGATGATGGTTGTAGTTACGACGATCCGTGGGACGATGAAGGCAGGCTAGAGGGATTAGAGTTGAGATTTTATGAAGGAATAGATGATGATAATGGAGCCTTTGGTTGGCCTCCCTCCCCTTAGCTATGGAAACTATAATGTTTTTGGGTTTGTGAAACTGTTTGCTTTTTTCTTTGTTCGTTCGCCGTCCTACTCGGTATCGACTCGATGCTCATGGAACTTATGTGGATTTGTAAATTCTCTAATAGAAATTGAAGTGTGAGCTTCTTTTTGATGAATTCTAAGGCTTCTTGAGTCTGTTATGTTTGCCTGCTATCATGAAATGTTGTCCTCTTTGAGCTTTTCTACATCTGTTAGGTAGAGGTTCCCACACTTTTACAGAATGCTTTGTTCCTTCTCCAATCGATATAGAATCTCACAATCCACTCTCTGTCGAGGCCCAACATTTTCGTTGGCACACTACCCGGTGTCTGGTTTTGATACCATATGTAACACTTTAAGCTTTCCCTTATACCACTTGTAATCATTCAAGCCCACTGCGAACTGATATTGTCCTCTTTGAGCTTTACTTTTCGGGCTTCCCCTCAAAGTTTTTAAAACGCATATGCTAAGCAGAGGTTTCCGTTCCTCTCTTCAACCGATGTGAATCTCACCGTCTTTAACAGTTTCATAAATTTTTTATTTTGTGTTTAACATATTCTTTTAAGTTCAAATAACACACTTTATGCTAGTTTAACTCGAGTCGTGAAACAGCAAGATTGAGAGGAGCACTTTCGACCAATCAATCTTAGAGTCAGGTCGGATTATACCATTACGCTTACGAGCAAAATCTTAGCTTGAGCCTACCTTTGCACACCTCCTTTAACTCATTAGATAAACTACCCACCTTCCCGTGTAGATATAATATTAAAAATTCATAGACAGAAATAAATACTTTCTAAACTTGGGAATTTTGTGATTTAAAATGTAAAGCCTTAGTACAAATTAAAATTATAATAATAATAAAAAAAAATTGTTAGTGGGGATGGAGAATTACGAAAAGGAAGGGAATGTGTGTGTATGATTTGTAAGTTTGTGAGAATATAATAAAAAATTAAAGGGTGTCACGTGATGGCACGTGAGGTCGATCCTTGGGATCTCAACGCCAAGCTCTTCATTTTTATCATTTTAAAAATATATATTTAAAAATCATCCCACGGTCCATTCACGAGAAGTCTTAGTGGACTGAAAATGGGCTGTACGGATGGGCTCAGAAGAGGGTGATGGGCCAAAGACTGGCCGAACTTGGGCCCATATTAGGCCCATCGGCCCAAACAACATCTCACGAAAAAGAGCTAACTTTTTCATTACATTAAAAAGAAAAAAGAGGGAGAAAAACCCGTGCATGCCAGCTGCTTCAGTACATGTCAGGCTGTCAAACCGAAGATTTCTAAAAGGAAAAATAAAAATGAAAATAAAAATAAAAGCTGTCAAAAAACAGGAGGCGTACAGTTTTGAACATCTTTCCACCGTCCATCTTGAATCCAACGGCTCACATTTAATCCATCTCTTCTCTCTGCTCTTCGTCCTCAACGCAATTATCGAACCACTCTCTCTCTCTCTCTCTCTCTCTCTCTCGCAGAAGGAAGACAAAAACTCGAACACCAAATACTCCAACTCCTTCGGTTCCCTCTCCCTCGATTTCGATTCCGCCTTCTTGAACTCATAAGATCTAATCGTTCCTCTTTGTTTCTGCAATGGCGGTCGCCTCTTCCCCTCGCGAGGAGTATGTTTACCTTGCTAAGCTTGCCGAGCAGGCCGAGCGCTACGAGGAGATGGTCGAGTTTATGGAAAAGGTCTCCGCCGCCGTAGACAACGAGGAGCTTACCGTCGAGGAGCGGAACCTTCTCTCTGTTGCTTACAAGAATGTTATTGGAGCGCGTAGAGCTTCCTGGAGGATTATTTCCTCCATTGAGCAGAAGGAGGAGAGCCGAGGGAACGATGATCATGTCTCGATCATCCGAGATTACAGATCCAAGATCGAGACTGAGCTGTCTAACATCTGCGATGGGATCCTTAATCTTCTTGACTCGCGCCTTATTCCCTCCGCTGCGTCCGGAGACTCCAAGGTGTTTTATCTCAAAATGAAGGGCGATTATCATAGATACCTGGCTGAATTCAAGACCGGAGCCAAGCGGAAGGAATCTGCCGAAAGTACCCTCACTGCTTATAAATCTGCTCAGGTTTGATTCCGCCTCTGTTTTACGATGCACCTATCATAATCAGTCGGTTTGTTAGGTATCTAATACTCGTTCTCTCATTCTTTCCAAGTGCTATTTGAATGTCGTGGAGTAGTTACCATTAGGTCTCCCAGTCTTGTCTCGCAGTTTTCTCCCTTGGAGACATTTTAATCAACTAAGAAAATACTGCGTTGATCTTTACATACTTGATCAAATTTCCTGCGTTTATGAGATTATATTGTCTGTTTTGAGAAGAAACAAATCCATCAAAGTAGACTTTCCCCCTTCGTTTTTCTAAAGCCTATTCTCTTTTGATACTTTCTTTTCAGCACAAATTTAATCATCTCTCGTAAAATCACGAGTTTTTCTGGGAAAGTGATTTCAATATGCTTAAAATTCACTGCATCGCAATTCTTGGGAAGAGTTATGGGAAAATATGAACTTCAAATTGTTTTTGTAGCGATTCCTTTGCATTTAATGCGAGTTGCTTGTCTGTGAGGTTTAAGCTTCAAATTAAAATCATGATTGCATTAACCATATGTACACTCGGGCTACGAGTAGTTCTCTAATAAAGAAAAGTTACTGTTCTAATGAAGTGCAACTCTTACGTTTGCAGGATATTGCAAATGCTGAACTTTCTCCTACTCACCCCATACGACTTGGGCTGGCTTTGAATTTCTCAGTGTTCTACTATGAGATTCTGAATTCCCCTGATCGGGCATGCAGCCTTGCTAAACAGGTTTCACGATTGTTTTGCATCTCCCTTGCATCATGTCCTGAAGCTAATTTTTATTTCTTTCAGTATTTGCAACCTAAAATTGGGTGGAACATTGTGCAAGTGAGTCGCTTTGGTATAGATTTTGGCTGATGTCGCAGCCAACCCGTTCTTATTTTTTTATTGTTTTGTTATAAACTCAACTGACCATGCCTGGAAATCAATCAATTTGACTGAAACAAAGTATAAAACCAAGTAAAAATGAATCAATCATAATCAACCAAACGGACCATATTTGAACAGGTTGAGCTATTTTGGATTCTAAGTATTGTGAAACTGAGCTATTTTGGTTTTGGTCAATTTTCTCAGTTCTTTATTTTTCTTTTCTTTGGTTTCAATTTTCACCCCTACCTCGAACCATATATTTTCTGTTCGTAAGTCTGGAATGACACCATCGTTTTCCTTCAGTTGTAGTCTATAAGTCAGTTCAAATCACTTACCATTGTACTTCTCAGGCTTTCGACGAGGCAATTGCTGAGTTGGATACATTGGGCGAGGAATCATACAAAGATAGCACTTTGATCATGCAACTTCTTCGTGACAACCTCACCCTATGGACTTCGGACATGCAGGTAATTAGTTCATGTTCTAAAATCTTTGTTGACTATCTGGTCCTGTGTCTTGACTCTTGCCACTTTATATTTTCTATTGATGCACAAATTCTTTTCTGGGTTGTCATCAGGATGATGGAGATGACATCAAAGAAGCAGCTCCCAAACGCGATGACGAATAGTAGTGAGCAAATCGATTTGCACGTGCAGGATTCAACTTCTCCTTAACATGTTTTATTCTGGAGAAGTGCTTGTTTGGAACTTTGGCTTTTCCATTGTTATCTAGGTATTTCTTAGCCTTATAATCATCACCACACTCTGGAAAAAACGTGCTCGTTTGTCTTTCCCCTCACCTCTCGTTTCTTTTTCTTATATTGACCAATCAATTCCATGTCTCTGAATTGGCTTTTTTAATCCAATATAAATGCTACATATTATTAAGCATCATGTAATTGATCTACCTTTCTTCGATCCGGATCTTTCTCAAGTAATTATATGAACTTTCCCTATGATATCTGATTTGAATCCTGCTATATGTGATCGTGGCACATGTAGTTGTAGGGAGTTATGTTGATTGGTGAATGGTGAGATGAAAGAAATTCCAATTGCAAATAATTGCTATCATAGATGCCTGAGTATTCAGTTTCTGCAGGCCTGCCTATGATTCTGTGAGGCTATCTTTTCAGTGCTCAGTTGATATCTGCGGTCAGGTATGTTGTAAAAGCCTAGTTTAGAAGGGATTATTATTTAATTATAGTACACGTTTACACGTATTTTAAAATTCTTTACTCTTTCCAAACCAAATTATAATTTCAGTTGCTCTTTCACTGATTTTCTTTTGATTGAAAATTATTTTTAAAGCCTTTGAATGTTTATAAATGTTTCAAATGCTTGTTAGGTCTTTAGTCTATTTAGGGGCACTTATGATCTCATTAGAATATGTAAGATCATCCATTTTTAAGAACTATGGACTAAGTAGACACAAACTTCGAAGTTTAGACCAAGTTTAGACCGTTAATCTTTCACCGTGCTCTCTTTCCACTCATTTCTGGGACGGGTGGAAGTAGAGAATATTTGAAGTAAGAATATGATTACTGCTTCCAAAAAGGAGGAATGGGAATGAAATTGTTGCAAATCCATACAAAATTCATCTTCCAAGCATCCTACTTTGTAGCCAATTAATCAATCCAACTACAGTTGCTTTCGCCCACTTAACGTAGTGTCAAAGAAAGTAGAAGGTTGACGAATGCAATAAAATCCAAGAGATTTAAAAACAAAGTTCAAATGTCTCTAATGGGCCAAAAAATAAGAATAATATTCAAACTTCCACAGTAGAACATTAATGATTGCAACTACCAGCTTTCTAATTCCACAAGAATGCCATTTGGGAGCTCTTTCTGTAGCAGCAAAAACCAGCTTTATGGATTCAACACACACACACACACACACACAACAGACCTCCTTACCATCCTCTTTACTTAATCTTCGTAAAGCTGAAACAAACTAAAGCACAATTTGGAACACAGATTATTTACTATAAACCCATGTAAAAGCAAAACAATTTGCAACAACATCTCATCAAATTCGAAAACATAGGCTAAGCTTCGTGAAATGGCCCTAATCGTTACTAGATGAATCGAGTCCAACCGAGCCGATTTCACTGTTAGCAGGGTTGTTGAACGAATAGAAAGCCATCTACGAGAGCTCAAGCCTATGCTTAAAATACTAGGATT